GCCCCCCCCCCCCCCCCCCCCCCCCCTCCCTCCAGATGTCCATTCGTGCTTCCCATATCAACTTACTTGTACTTACTTCAGAGGGATCTATGCTCAGCCGGGAACAAGATGGACCACAATAAATTATGAGAAAATTACTTTAGTTTTGGATATGGTTGCCATGTGAACCAAACACTTTACGCGTGAAAAAAAAAATCAACCTCATAATATACATTCTCTACCTTGTCCAAAAGGCAAAATTATCCGGACACCATGCAACAGAGGAGGATCGTAAACTCGACAGGTCTAATATATTGCAAGACCACTGGTCTGACCGCTTTTGTGACTGCAATGGTTCCAGTGCTGGAATGCTGAAATGACTCCAGTGACATGTCGAGCCATCGTGTCCACCAGTTCCCGAGAATGTTCCGAAGGAATCCTCGTTAATTCTGCCATCTCGTAGTTGGTGCAAGCTACTGAAGATGGCTGTTAACGGATATGATACTCTGAATGATCTTACATGCGTTCAATCGAGTTAAGGTGGGGGGATTTTGTCCAGGCCATGGCGGTAGGTTGATATGAAGATGCCCCAACCACGCACTGCCATTTCGTGCAGCTGGTGGGTGGCATCGTCCTGCTGGAATACACATCAAGACGCTTGGACAAAAACTTTATCAATGGCCTCAGGAAAATGTTCAACAATGAGAAAAATGAAAGAGGATTCCACTTGAACGCTGTCGAATAGTTGTGACAGCATGTCTCTTCGAGTCATACCAGTTATTAACACCAACATTTGCCAACCTATACTGCGACCCTCTAATATGTGTGGTGTTCGTATACTTTTTGGCGGAACAGAGTATATAAATATATTCCTCTGCCGTGGTGAATGAAACTTGTGGAAGGAAGGGAGCGGCAATCCTCTGCTCAAGCATGAAAAGGATGTCTCTCATTTTCAGGGCAGAATTGAAGATGAAAGGGAAAAGTTTCAGGTTACAACAGTCCATGGTTCGTCACGGCTTCAGTAGGCCTAGACCATAGCTATCTAACCAGTAACACAGGTTAAGCTGTAGGCGTATTCTATCTGATGTTTCCTCAGCGGGAACCGCATTCTTCTGAAGGCAAAACGAGAATGGTTAAAAACGAGAATGGTTAAGTTAAAGAAGGACCGCCTACGCATAGGAGTATGCTGGGGGAAGCCCCTTCACTGCTTTTCTACTCCGTTGCCCCTAGAAGGCATAACTCCCTTGTTTTTG